AAACATTAGGAGACAATTTCTCTAGCAAAAAATTAGCCAAGAATAGACCGGAGGAGGTAATTGTGAAAGAGTGAGTGCTACAATGTGAAAGGAGAGCAGTTAGAAAGGCCTCCCCAAGGAGACATCTCGGCTAACACTCGAGGGGAGGGCATGAAGTACATACAGATCTTGAAGAAAATGCCAAGTTGAAGTGAAGATAGGAGGGTGTGGGGAGATAAGACTGGGCTTGGGTGGGCTGCTAGAAGCTGGACCCCATAGGCCTTGCAGGGACCACCATCAGCCTTTGACTTTTATTCTGAATGAGTAGGGGACAGGGACAGCAAGGTCCCATTTCCATGTGCAAAGGATCACTCATCACTGTAGTGAGGGCAGATAGCAGGGGTAAAGCCAGAGCAGATGGTGGCTCTGGCCCAGGTGGCAGTGGTGGAGGGAAAGTGTGGTTAGATTATGGAAATACCTTGAAAGTAAAAGCAACAGGATTTGAGGATGAATTAGATGTGGGGAGGGGTTCATTGTCAAGAATGACAGGTTTGGGGTACATTTTGGGCCATCTGGGAAGATTAAGTTTAAGGTGTCTATGAGATTCCAATAGAGGCCTCGCTGGAAGTCTAGGAAGATAGGGAAGTAAGTGCAGGGCCCAGGGTATCAGACTGGAGGGAGGTAGCATGTGTGTGGTCAGGTGGGTCCAGACCTTCTGGCCTACAGGACTGGGTTCAGGGCTGTCTAACTACAGGCAAGTGTAACCACTTCCCCCAAGGTCATGGCTGACCCAGTCCTTCTTGCTGACCTTACTGGCTGTGATAACACTCAACCTCTCTGACACTGTTTATGGTACGGATACATAGTGCTAACATAGTGCTAGATCAAGGGCAAACAGGCCCTCAGGCCAAGTCTGTTTTGGGAAATCAGACTTGATTGTGGTGTGACCTTTCAGGCTAAGACTGCCCCATAATGCTGCAGAACTCAGTAGCTGAACTCAGGTGCCTGTAGCTGCAAAACCTAAAACCTTTATTTAAAGCTCCCTACGTCACTGTACAAAGGCTATTCTCATCCTTACAGCAAGATACTTAAGTGAAGCCTGGTGTGGCTCACATCTTTAATCCCAGCACTTAGGAAGCAGAGGCAGGCCAATTTCTGTGGGCTTGAGGCCAGCCTGGTCTACATAGTGAGTTGCAGGCCATCCAGAGCCACATAGTGATACCCTGTCTCAAAGGGGGTAAAAAAAAAGGCCCAATTTTTTGCCATTATGAAAATTGGGGGGAGTGTTTGAGAAAGGGTCTCACTTTGTAGCCCAGGCTAGCCTTGAGCTCACAGTGATCCTTCTGTCTTAGCCTCTAGGGTGGGAGTCACCAAACTCAGACTAGTATCAACACTGTTTTTGGAATGTTTTTTCTGAGACAGAATCTCATGTAAGCCAGATTGACCTTGTATGTTTGATCCTCCTGCCTCCACCCCCCAAATGCTGGGATTACAAGTGTACATCACCACATCTAGTTCAGTCTTTCACTTTTTTTTTTTTTCCTTTTGGTCTTTTTGAGACAGGGTCTCCCTGTAGCCCCAGCTGGCCTGGAAATCACTATATAGACCAGGCTGGCCTTGAACTCAAAGATTCGCCTGCCTCTGCCTCCTGTGTGCTGGGACTAAAGGCATGCACCATCACACCCGGCTCTATTTTTATTTTTAGTGTATGAGTTTATTGCCTGCATGTGTGTAAGTGCACCTGTGTCATGCAGTGCCCGAGATGGTCAGAAGGTGGCAGAGCCCCTGAAGCTGGAGCTATAGATGATTGTTAACTGCCATTTGAGTGCTGGGAATTGAACCCAAGTCCTCTGCAAGAGCAGTCAGTGCTCTTAACTGCTGAGCCATCTCTCCAGCCCTCTTTTCCATCTTATCACATCTGGTCCCTGTGTGTTACATTTATTTGTTTTGTGTGGGTGTACATGTAAAGGTTAGATGGCTTTACCCAGTCATCATACTGGCCCAGGCTTCATGCTTTTACTACTTTTTCATTTAGTATACAAAGAAATGTTTTACACACACACACACACGCACAACACACTCACACACAGAGTATACTTTGTTCACATTCACGCCTCCCCTGCTAAATTTTTTTGTTTTATGACAGGGACTCACTATGTAGCACTGGCTGTCCTAAAGCTCATAACGTAAACCAGGCTAACCTCAAATTCAGAGATCCATCTCCCTCTGCCTCCCAAGTGCTGAGATTAAAGGTGCTGGCCAGTGGCCACTACCATGCCTGGCCTTTAAATGTCCTCTTGTAAATACTGTGGAGCAGCATCTTACTTTTTTTGGCTAATGTGATAATCTGGGATGAGAAGCATGAGCTACCACACCAGTCTAGGTGGTGCTGGGGATCAAACTCAGGGCTTTGTGTATGCTGGGCAGATGGTCTACCAACTGAGCTACATCCCCAGCAATTTAATAGGTGAATGTAGATTTTTCTAGCTCTGGTTTTGTTACTGCCTGCTTCATATTTCTTTCCTGCCCCCTCATTGTTCAATACCCTTTACTACCCTTTTTTCTTCATTTGAAACCATACTTTGCATTTCTGTTCTTTTTTTTTTTTGGTCTTTTTGAGACAGGGTCTCCCTGTAGCTCCAGCTATCTTGGAACTCACTATGTAGACCAGGCTGGCCTTGAACTCATAGATCTGCCTGCCCTCTGCCTCCCAAGTGCTGGGATTAAAGGCATGCTCCACCACACCTGGCCCCATTTCTGTTCTTTTAATCCCTCTTAGTGGGTTTTTCTTTGTTTTATTGAGTCTATGTATCCCTAGTTAGCCTGAACTCTTTATGCCTCTGCCTCCCAGGCACTGGAATTAAAGGTGTGCCCCACCACACACACCCTGCTGGTTTTTTGTTTTTTTTAAATGTTTATTTATTTATTTAGTTATTTAGTTAGTTATTCGGTCTGTTTTTGAGACAAGTTCTCCCTATGGTCCCAGCTGTCTTGAAACTCTCTATGTAGCCCAGGTTGCCACCTGCTTCTGCCTCCCAAGAGCTGGAGTCAAAGGCATGTACCCCCACGCCCAGCTTTACATTTATTTATTTACTTTGTGTCTGTATATGTGTGAACATGTGTGGGCCACAGTGTGCTTATGGAGGTCCAAGGACAACTTATAAGGGTTGGTTCTTTCCTTCCACCACCACGTGGGTCCTGTTTAAAATATTACAGATTTCTTCCAGGTTCAGTAGAGAGATGCACTGAGACAGATTTCAGGTGATAAGGTCCTTTAACAATGCTGGCCCCAGGGGAAGCTGGAATATGGTGGAGATCCCGCAGTAACCTCCAGACCAGGAAAAATTCTTAAATTTTAGAGGGTAAGGGTGTGTGTGTGGGGGGGGTGTCTCTGAGTTTAGTAGATTAATGAAAGTACTAAATAGGCTATAAAGCCAAAATTTAGGGAACATACCTTAAGGCTGGCCACATGCTAGCAGCTTAGGGAAGGAGCTAAATAAGATGTAAGGCCTAATAAGATGTAAGGCCTAACAGAGCCTGTCTATAGATTTTTTTGTTGTGTTTTTTTTCTTTTTAAGACAGGGTATGCTACCATACCCAGCAGGGGCAGCCTCTTTATTCTAACAGGCCCCCAGACTGAATCAGGTCCTCAGGCTGAGCCATCTAGTAGGCCCCTCTTAGTTTCTGAAATACATACCTGACTAAGCAGTGTTTGGTATCTTCAAACAAATCCAGCTACATGGAACATCTTTACTCTCTTCCCCAATCTATCTCATGCATTCTTCTGTCCTGAGCAACCTGTTTTTGTACTCCACAATTACTATGTTCCATATTAAGTACTTGTTTACACATTTATCAGTTTCACGGATTTCCACTGTTCACTGTTTTCCATCTAATTTTTTTTGTTTGAGTTACATATTGCTTCTGAAGTACACCCTTTACTTTTTCTAGAAATGGTCCTCCCCGCCCCAGCTCCCTCTCCCCCCTTTTTCTTTCTTTGACAGGGTCTCACTACTTAGCACTGGATGGCCTGAAACTCACCATGTAGACCAGGGTGGCCAGGAACTCAGAGTCTAGCTGCGCATGCCTGGCATCTAGCAACAGTCTTTGGAAAACTCTTTGTTATAATTTATCCTTTTTCCTACCTTTTATTTCCAGGCTGGCCTCCAACTCGCCATGTAGCAGAGGATGACTTTGAACTTCCTGATCCTCCTATCTCTACTTCCAAGTGCTGGGATTAACAGGCTTGGGCACCATTCCCAGGTCTGAATCAAGGGCTTTGTGCATGCTAAGCAAAAATCTTACAAACTGAGCCAGATCTCCAGCTCTTGGTCTTTCGCAGCAGGATCTCACTCTAGTCCAGGCTGGCCTGAACTCCCACCGATCCTCCTCTTCCCAGAGTGCCAGCATTACAGGTGTGAGACACCATGCCTGGCATGGATCCTGCTCTTTAACTCACTTTGTCAAGTTCTTCAGGAGCTGCCTTTCCATGTTCGTGGAGGCTTTTGTTGTTGTTTGGTTTGGGGGGGGGGTGTTGGGAATTTAGGGACAGGCAAGCACTCAGTGGTAATGAGCTATATTCCCAGTCCATACATTCTTTCGGTCCTCTCAACGACTGAACTCATGGGCTATCACTGCAGCCTATTTTCTATCCCTGGCTAACTGCCTCAGCTCTATCCTCCGGTTCAGTGATTTTCTCTCTTGCTGTATCTAATTCTCCTCTCGCCTCACCCTTGGCCGTAGGCTGTTCTACAGTTCTCTTCAGGCTGGGCTGCTCCATTCTGGCGAGCTGCTCTTGGTTCTAATGCTCATCCCCACGCCCCTTTTACTCCGAGCGCGTATGAACCGCACAGACTTGAACCCAGAGGCAGCTCTATGGCTCCCCCCCCCCCAATCTGAGCTGCAAAGAAAGACTGCCGCAGACCGTGACGTCACAGGGCTGTGACTCGCCCCGCAGCTCCGCCCCCTCGCGTCCTGCGCCGGGAATCCAGGCTGCCTGCGCCGTGACGTCACGAATCCGGGCGTGTGGGTTTTCCGTCGGCCCAATGGGAGCGGCGCGCCGGCTTCCCCTTTAAGGAATGTTGTGACCTGACGTCACCCAGGCGAGTTACCTCTTGCTGCCGCCGCCGCCAGGCTCAGCGCTAGTCCCGCAGCCCTTGAACGCGAGCCCCGGAGCCCCCGGCGCACCGAACCGCAGCCACATCCCGAACCGCGCGCCCCGAGCCCCGGCCGCGCGCCCCGTCGGGCCCGCGCCATGCCCTCGGACCGGCCTTTCAAGCAGCGGCGAAGCTTCGGTGAGGCCCTGGGGCGACCCGCGAGCGGGAACCGGGGGGGTGGGGGTGCCGACGAACCCCGACTGCCGCGGGTGACGTCAGCCCATGACGTCAGGCCCGGCCGGCCGGGACCCCCAGACCTAGAGGCCGCGAGGCCTGCGGGGTCGCCCTGCTCCCCGCCGCGTCCCTGGCCGTGGGCTGCGGGCCTGACGGCCCCAGGGGCGGGCGCGGAGCCGCCCCTCGTGGCCGACGAGGCGGAGTTACGGGGAGGCCTCAGCCTGCCGGGCCTCACTCCGACCGCTGTCCGCAGCCGACCGCTGTAAGGAGGTGCAGCAGATCCGCGACCAGCACCCCAGCAAGATCCCGGTGAGTCTAACCCGCCACGCCCTGCCCGCCCCACGTCCCGCCTCCGGCTGATGCGTCCCCTGCCCACCCCTCCTGCCAGGTGATCATCGAACGCTACAAGGGTGAGAAGCAGCTGCCTGTCCTGGATAAGACCAAGTTTCTGGTCCCAGACCATGTCAACATGAGCGAGTTGGTCAAGATCATCCGGTGTGTGAGCAGCATCCTAACTAAAGGGGACTTGGGTGGGGCCAGGGCTGAGTTCCACTGGGAAGGGGTGGAGCAGGCCGAGGGGCGTGGGATGGGAAGTCAGACCCCTGTTCTAGGAGGCTGGGAAAGGTCAAGGTCAGGGTTGAAGTCAACTTCAGTTAAAAGGTGAGAGCCTCTAGCCGGGGCTGGGATGGGGAAAGTGGAGGCTCAGAAACACTGGGAGGGTTAGCTAGGCACCCAGCAGACGGGCCCCCTCACCTGGCAGGCCCTGCTGCCTCCGCAGGCGCCGCCTGCAGCTGAACCCCACGCAGGCCTTCTTCCTGCTGGTGAACCAGCACAGCATGGTGAGCGTGTCCACGCCCATCGCCGACATCTATGAGCAAGAGAAGGATGAGGACGGCTTCCTCTACATGGTCTACGCCTCCCAAGAAACCTTCGGCTTCTGAGCCAGCAGTAGGGGGGTGGGGATTTGGGAGTGGAGGGTCCTGGTCAGGCTCTCCCCAGGGAGCTTCTGGCTCCCAAACTGAGCCATCACCACCCCTGGTGGGTTGGATAGAGATGTGGCCCCCTAGCTAGGGGCACCAGCCAGCCTGCAATGCCCTGGGGTGGGACCTGGGCCAGTCATGTTAAAGGTTGCCCCTCTGGGTGCTGGCTGGGTTGGGAGAGGGTGGGGAGCACCCCCCCAGCACCCCTGCCGTGTGGTTTGTCTTTTTTTTTAGGCCCCTGCCTGTCTGCCCACCAGTCCCCTCATCCACCAGAGGCTCTGCTCCCTGCCATGACCTGCCCACACCTGAAAGACTGGCCCTTGGCTCCCCCTGTCCCCACATAGTGTATGGATCTGTGGTCATTACCTCTGCAGAATAAAGATTGCTCAGGCCTGCCTGGCCCTTTGCCTCCAGCTGCTTGCTTGGGAGCAGGGAGGGGTGCTAGGTGACACCCGTGGACACAGTCAGGAATACAGACTTGTGTTCTGTGGACTTTGGGCTCCTTGGAAACCCACTCCTTTGTGTATTATACCATGTAGTATTGGGGGCCAAGCCCACCTCCCACCTCTAAGAATAGATGTTGGCATAACAAAAAACACATTTATTAAGTAGTCACAACCTATCAAGCCCTGCTCACCTGCTACTTCCCCTTCCTTCCTGGGAGGGGACTCTGCAGAGACACAAAGTGGGGATCCAAGTGGGATATTCCCAGCTTCTCCCCATGGGCCTTGCCAACTATGGGTCCCCTATGGTGCCAGAGATTTGTGACCCTGGACTTGAACCTCTTCTGCCTGAAGACTCGCCTGCTAGCAACCAGAATGGGGGGGCGGGGACCTAGCCCAGCTTCTGGCCCTCCCCCCCCCCTTGAGTCTGTACAGCCCTATGCCAGCCAGGGCTACTTGAGTACAAGCATGGCCTCTGTGCCATCCTTGGCAGTCAAGTAGAGACCATGTGTGAGGTAGTACTCCCGCCGCAGGAAGGCATAAAAGTAGTCAGAGATGAGCAGGATCTGGGGGAGAAGAGAGAGTAGAGAGTATGAGAAGCTGTCCGGCACCTTCCTGAATCAGGGCCTCTTGTGTGGTTAGGAGACAGACCAGTCCCTGCCTGACCTCCATCAAAGTCCAGCCTTTAGACCTGTCCAGGAACCTCTTTCCCTCTGGGCATATAACTGACCCCAAAAGATGTTTTTTCCCTAGCTGAAACTCCCTATGTAGACCAGGTTGGCCTTGATCTCATAGGGATCTTTGTGCTTCTGCCTCCCAAGTGCTGGGATTGAAAGCATGAGCCACCACATGACCCTGAAAGCTCTCACTGGTTACTCAGTTCTGTGCTTCATCCTCTGCTTCCCACTGCTGGTTTCTACCTCCATCCCAGAATGGGGAACCCAGCTTTTTTTTTTTTTTTTTTTTTTCTTTGTCTTTTTAAGACAGGGTCTCCCTGTAGCCCCAGCTGGGCTGGAACTCACAGATCCACCTGCCTCTGCCTCCTGAGTGCTGGGATTAAAGACTTGCACCACTGTGTTCAGCCTGTATTTTAGGGACTAGAGAGATGACTCAGTGGTAAAGAGTAGCTATTGCTCTTCCGGAGGACCCAGAAACATCAGGTGGTTCAGAACTACCTGTTACTCCAGCTCCTGGAGAACCCAACACCTCTGGCTTCTACAGGCACCTGTACTCACATGCACACAACCACACACAGACATACATATACACATAATTGGAAAATAAAAATTTTAATTATGTGCATATATATCTTGAGTGTGGGTGTATGCGAGTGCATTGCTTACAGAGGCCAGAATAGGGTGTTGGGAGTCTCTGGAACTGGAGTTACAGGTGGTTGTAAACCACCTGACATGGGTACTGGAAACTGAACTCTGGTCCTCTGCAAGGGCAATCAGGCTCTTAACTGCTGAGCACCCAAACCAGTATTTTCTTTTTTAAATATTTATTATTTTATGTGCATGCATGTAATTGCCTGCATGTAGGTAAGTGCACCTGTGTCGTGCAATGGCCACAGAAGACAGAAGAGACTGTCGGATCCCCTGGAACTGAAGTTACAGACAGTTGTTAGCTGCCATATGGGTGCTGGCATTCGAACCTAAGTCTTCTGCAAGAACAGTCAGTGTTCTTAACCCCTGAGCCATTTCTCCACCTCCCCCAAACCAATATATTTTTTTAATTTACTATTTTTACATGTATGCTTGTATTGCCTGCATGTAGGTAAGTGCACCCATGTAGTGCAATGCTGTCAGAAGACGGAAGAGACTGTAGGAGCCCCTGGGACTAGAGTTACGGACAGCTGTTAGCTGCCATGTGGGTGCTGGAATTCGAACCCAGGTCTTCTGCAAGAACAATCAGTGTTCTTAACTGCTGAGCCATCTCTCCAGCCCCCAAAACAGTATTTTCAAAACTAGTGGTATATGCACCTTGCCCCTCTGCCCACAGGCATTTCCCATCCAGCCTCCCCTGGTCAAACCTCTCACCAGGCACCTGTGCTCCATCTTCTGTCCAGGAGCACAGGCCACAGAACTGTGACATTTCTCCCATATACCAAGACCCATGAAGTCTAACTCAAACAATTCTTACCATCCCCATAGCTGACACTCCCAAGAAAGCCACTGTCATGTTTTAAATAGCACCCAAACTACCTCGTAAGGCTTCCTGCTTTCAAACCTTCCCCCAGTCCATGTAGGCAGAGGAAGCTTTTCAAAACAAATCTCATCATGTTACTACTTGGCTTCAGTGCTCCCAAAGGCTGCTTGTGCTTCACACTCCTCAGGCCTTGCACTTGGTCCCTCCTATACACAGGCATCACCTCCCTGGACCACCTCTCATTACAGGATCTTTGCTGTTTCTTCTGCCTAGACCATTTTCATCTAGTCAATATCAATCTGCCCTTAAATGTCTGGAAGGCTTCTGTACCCCAAGATTAGGTCCTAACCCCAATAACCTATCTGTTGACACAAACTCATTCAAGCTGCAACTTTTTACATTCAGCTGTGTGAGCTGAATAACGCCTCTGCTAGATGGCTCCATCAGGATGGACCCTGAGCAGTTATGTCACTGTGGCATTTCTGTGCTTCATACAGTCTGCGTGTCCCATTCTGGACCACAGATCAAAGGGGGCCAAGAATCCCAGCTCACTGTTGCCCTAAATGGAGGCCCCAGAGATTCCCCACCTCACTAGATCCCGAAGACTATAATCCTACTCAGCCCAAACTGCCTAAGCCCTCAGTAACAGGAGCAGGAGAGTACCCGGCCTCACAGAAGGAAGTTGGGACAGGCACACTATCACAGACACCACAGTTCTAAGGGACTTAGGGGCTCTCAGAGTGCCAGCACCAACTACCAGCACAGATGAGAACACTTGGGCCTTAGAGCAGGGCAGACACTCAGCCAAGGTTTTAGGTCAGGTCAGAGGTTGAACTTAGCCTGGGATCTAGGCCTCTAGAACCCTGCCCTAGGCAGCTGTACACTCATCTGAAGGTAACAAGAGCAGCTAAGGAGACCTGGAGGGGCCAGCAGCACTGCTGCCATTCCCTGAATGATCCCTGTTTTACCAACAGGAAAATTGAGGCTCAAGACAATTAGGTGAACCAAGGCTACACTTGGAGTCAGGGCTAGTGGGCATGTCCTCAAGTGTGATGTGCCACAGGTTCAGTCCACGAAAGGACAAAGGGTTCTGTAGCATAGCAACAAACAACCAGGCGCCCTGAGGCTCTGCCACAGATGCCTAGTGCATAGCCCTTGGCCAGCTTGGTGACCCCAGAAATGCTGACCTTGTGCCTTGGGGTCCTGGTTCCTCATCCAAACTCCAAGATGCCCTGTCTAGGGAAGGGGAGCCTCATCTCTGTGCCAGAGTATGTGAGGGGCAGGTGCAAATTCATAATTCAAATTCAAGCCAAACGAGGCAAAATTCAGTGTTACACAGTAATCATCTGGGTAAGTCCGAGGAAGGCAACCCAAACTATTAGGTTATTAGGTTGAGCCATATTTTGGAAGTAACATTTTTTTCAGATTAACAGTGTTTGTTTGGTTTTTTGGTCTTTTTTGAGACAGGGTCTCCCTGTGGCCCTAGCTGTCCTAGAACTCACTAGGTAGACCACAGAGATTCACCTGCCTCTGACTCCCAAGTGCTGGGATTAAAGGTGTGTGCCACCACGCCTGGCAGATTAGCAGTGTTTTAATGGCAATTTTATAGGATCCAACCTAATGTGATATAGGATGAAAGATATAAATATTAGCCTTCGCATATTATTCAGAGGGACCAGAAAAAATAACAATAGGGCATCATGGAGGAACTTTTTTTCTTGCTTGTTTGGTTTTTGAGACAGGATCTCAGGAGCCCAGGTTGACTTGCTATGCAGCCTAGGATGAGCTTGAACTCCTGATCCCCTGTCTCTACCTCTCAAGTGCTGGAATTACTTAGCTACAGTCAACCTGAGGCAAGCCTGGTTCACCACACCTTGCTCCGTAACTATTCTATTTATAAGCCTTAAGTTTATATATCATGTACGTGTATTATTTTGATTAAAAAAAAAAAAACTCGGGCAAGGCATGGTGGCACACACTTGTAATCCTACCACTTGGGAGGAGGATTACTGCAAGTTTGAGATCAGACTGGGCTATATAGTGAGGTCCAGGTCAGCATGGGCTACAGAGTAAGACCATATTTCAAAACAAATCCAAAAACTAAATAGACAAACTTTTCTTTCAGAAGAATTCCAAGTATTATATACTGATCCATCTCAGAGGGCAGAACTTAGTTTTTGCCTACTCTCTGCCCCATAGGTGGGCTAGACCTACGGGCCTATTTCCTGCTTGGCAGCAGAGAGAGGCCAATCACTGCAGTGGGGAAACGTGGCAACCATATGCCAAGGGTTAACATCAGCTTGAAATCACAAGGCTGGCACGTCCCAACAGGATGGAGGATGCAATGAGTGCGGTGCTTGGCTTGAGGATTCTTTAAAAAGATCCAAGTCTCAGTGTAATGACAAATATCAGACAAGCATACTTAATTGTAGGACCTGGCCAGTGCTCCTTAAAGTCTGTTAAGGTCATGAAAAACAAACAAACAATAGAGAACCCTGGGCAGATACAACTCTAAATATAACATGGTCCCCTTGGTTGGTCCTGGAACAGGAGGACATAACTAGAAAAGTAAAATCCCAGGGAAACCTGGCATTTAGTTGATGGCAATGTCCCAGAGTGGTTTGTTAGTTTGACAAAAGCGCCATGCAACTCAAGAAGCTAATAACACAAGACAGTGAGTATGGAATATGCAGGACCTCTCTGTGCTATCTGCAGCTTTTCTATGACTAAGATAAATAAAAATGTTCATCTAAAGAAACAAAAAGCTATTCTGGTCTTTTTTGTTGTTACTGATTTTGCTTTTGAATCGG